TTTAAACTTTTATTTTTTGTATTTTACGCACCGTAATGCCGATTGACAACATATCTTCTAACACATTTGCGTATGCCAACCTCTTTTTTTTAGGATGCTGGAATTCTTCCTTCCGCGCAAGGTAGCACCTCAAAAAACCTGTGGTTTCTTCGCGGGTCCATCTTCTTCGTTTCTTGTCTTGTATTCTGAAATATAAATCATATTTTATTTGATATTTTTATAAAAAACTATGAGACGCTATTTTACTCACTGCTGCTCCATTTTGTTTCTCTTAATTTTTTTTGAAGTTTGGCTGAAATTTCCCCATCAGTTTGACATTTAGCAGAAATTTCCCTTAGTACTTTTCAGTGAGTCATTCACAATAGTGCTGGTTTTTTACTTTGCAACACTATTCATCAGGTCGGCTATTGTTTAAGCGTTTTCAACTCAAACCGCTTATATTAACTCAACTTGCTTATTTTGTGTTGTTGCTTTCCACGTAATTCGATTACCTACCTATCGTTCTTTTGCAGCTCGGGTACAAAAGAAAACAACTATAGATGTAATTACCTATATGCGCAAGTATACATGCATGTATGTACATACATACATATATGCATGTACTAAGGGGAACCAGGGAATATATATATGCGTTTAAATAAATAAATTAAATTAAATTAAATTGAAGGAATGAAATCGACTTAAATTGAATTAAATTAAAACAAAATAAAATACACTACAAATTAGTAAACATTTACAAAACTAAAATAAGTTTAAAGTAGAAAGTTAACGAAAAATCAACTAAAATCATTCTAAATAACTAACTAAATCATTATAAAAGGAAAAAGGCCAATATATAACTAAAAACTTAACATAACTGGTAATAATAATAAATGAAATACTGAAAATATAACTCACCTATAACTATTTTTTTTTGTATACAAACAAAAAAATAAAATAAAACAAAAAAAAGAAAAAGGGGAGAAAATAGAAGATTAAAAGAGAATAATACTAAAAGAACCTAAAACGGGGAAAAAAATATATATTTATATAAAAAAAAGGGAACTGACTTAGACTTAGTTTACTTACCGGACTTACTTAATTTAACCTTTGGCTTATATACTTACCTATACGTACTTATATAAATTTAACTCAGCTTAAATACCCTACATATACTTACCTTAATTATAATGAATTAAAATTAAATATATCGAAGACAACTTACCTACAGTTACTTAATACTTACCATAGACGTACATAAATCACACAACCATTTACTAAATTTAGACGATAGTGATTTAGATGTTAGGAAATTTAAGATTTAGGATTAATTTAGCCGTAAGAAAATGAATTTGTCTGAATAAATTGTTATTAAAATGGGAATGCCGACTCTTTCCGTTATTTGAGAAAGCACGATAGGATTTCAGAAATGGGCTGCTGATATTAGGGTGCGCCAGCAGCCACGGATGAGGGTGGGCCAGCACCAAGCTCCACAATACCAGCGGTGGTGCCTCATATTCGGCCACGGGTTTTTTTTCCGTTTTGTTCATTTGCTTTTCATGTAAGTTTTCGTGGTTGGGTTTTTGTTTTCTTTTGCTTTTCATTTTGTTTTAAATTTTAAATTTAACGTTCTTTTTCAGCNTGGGCCAGCACCAAGCTCCACAATACCAGCGGTGGTGCCTCATATTCGGCCACGGGTTTTTTTTCCGTTTTGTTCATTTGCTTTTCATGTAAGTTTTCGTGGTTGGGTTTTTGTTTTCTTTTGCTTTTCATTTTGTTTTAAATTTTAAATTTAACGTTCTTTTTCAGCTTTTTTTTTGTTTTGTAACGGATTTTTTTTTTTAATTTTGAATTGCTGTGTGTCCGTCCGTTGGAATGTTTGACAAGGCATGACTTTTCTCTGCTATGGCGCAGGGAACAGTAGTGAGGCAAGAACCCCGCCCAGCCGACATGACTAGCCACAGTGTCCTCATTGTGTCATGCCGCCTGCACTCACTGCTGCTCCCATCGTAAGCGGACCATAACAACTTTTTTGCTGAACTCATCGAGATCAGAGCATTTCTTTGCCCAGTGAAACACTTTGCCGCATATACCTACACAGCGGATTCCACTCTCACCGCGTATTAGGCCTTTGCACTTATGGCAGTCACCCATTTTCTTGGCTGACACTTCGCTGCACTTTTGAGTGTTTTTTATTTATTTGCTGACGTCCCAAGCCTTATCGCACGGTGTTATCGACACTTGTGTTTATTATGGTTCACAATTCGTTAGACGTGTTTGTATGTATGTACTATGTGTTGTGTTTACTAGATGTAAAGCACAAACTTCGCGGAGCTAAAACTATGTTCCCATCGGCGTAATTTAGAGGTCAATCTTAATTTACGCATAAATTAAGTACAAACTAAGTAATTTCGCCTTGTAATGTCTCTCAGTAGATTAAGTTGAAAGTACGTAGTTTATCTTAAACCAAGAACCAAATCATGAACAAATCAGTGTCGGTTCTAATTTTATCGATAATAATCGAAAAAAGTATTGTCCCATAACTGATATGTCATTGTGTTTGGATGGTTTTGTTTTTAATAATCGCGCGTGGTAGTTTGTAAAATATTTCCAGAAGCTTTCTCTTTTTATCACTCATCTGAAATCTAAAAAATTACCACAAACAACTCAGAATATAAAAATATACGCAATTACTCACATTCGCGATCTCTTTTGGTTAAATAAACAATAACACAGGGTTGCTACAAAGCTGTCAAGACAAATAAAGAATCGCGTGTATGAACGCACTTAATTTAGTGAGGTATTTTAAACGAAACTAAGTATTTTATGTTGGTAATGTGTACATAGTTTAACTATAACATGACCTTTCATACCAGAGACCAGTTCAGGCATTGTGTAACAATCAAGGCCTAAATTGGTGAAAAGGTTCTTAATTGCCAATAATACCATGTTCTGACTGACAACGAAAACACCTTGAAAACGAGTTTTGGGATTGTGGGCTGAAGGCTGTTCACACCGACTGTTGGTGTTGTCGTTGACATTTCTTTCATCCTTTGTTTACAGTTTTGCTACACAAAAACAAAACCAAAATCCTTTTCCTTCAATTTCTTTTCATTAACAACCTTTTCTTCCATGCTTACTTTATTTTGGTCAGCCAATTAACAATAAATCTGAAATGACGTATTAAAGATGATAAAATATGACTTCCACTTCGATAAATAATCGAAAAAACCTAGTGCAGACACCGATTGGAATGAGTGGAACGTGAATTTTCAAGTGGTTTTCAGCGAAAACTAGTTTTCGTTTGGCAGTTTTTACATGGACGAAAACACAGGTTTTAGGTCGAAAACCAGTTTTACCAACGAAAACATGTTTTCGATGTCGGTCAGAACATGGTATAAGGTGCCTGTTTGAACATAGTCTGAGCTATTTAAGCTAAAAAATAATAAAGAAAATACAAAGATACATACACATCAGCGTATCTTCAGTTATTATAGTTCTTTGGTTATGAATTTCTCTTCTTTCTTGCACAATACTTCAAAATTATTGTAAATCCTAAAGCGTGCTATACAGTTCAATGCGAGCGTGTGCGTGAACGTTCGCAAAGGCAAATAATTCCTTTTGTATTTGCAATTAAAGGCCGGTATGCAGCTCTCAAGAAAACGGTAAAGAAAAAATTGCCATTATTTCGTGTGTGTGTCCAAGGAATTCTGACATTTTTGATACTGTTTCCTCAAGAAATAATGGAACGGGCATATATTTCTGTTGCAAACCTGGGTTGCCTTCAGCTCTTTTTTTCACAAAAAACTTTAGAAAACCGTAGTAGAAAGCGTAGTAAATTCCTTAAGAACTTCGTACTGCCTTAAGGAAATTTTACTTAAGAAAATTTCTTAGCCATTTTTTGCTTTTCTTGAGAGCTGCATACAGGCCTTAATGTAAACGCGCCGTTAGAAGTGGAAAACTATCGATAGTATTCACTATCGATATATGCTGATAGTATTGATAAACACTATCGATACTGTCGGCCGTATAACATTTATAAGAAAAAACAAATTTTTATTAAAAGACGTCGTTTTATCAAATTAAAAGTACTATATCTTGTGCAATTTTATTTGTTTTCATAAACATTTTTCTGAAAAAAAACTTAAGTTTTATTCAGCGATCGTTAATAGTTAATTCGACCTTGCTGAAAACTCTCTCTGACTCTACAGATGATGCTGGAATCCAAAGGTATTTGATACCACATACTATGTGTATGTTACGCGTTGTTTTTGAAGGCAGATAACATTAAACAAATTAATGAAACATTTATCATTAACTTTTCAGGGCGGTTTAAGAGCCTTGATTACCATTAGGGAAACTGCTTGATTTATTTCTTTTTTACGTTCTTCCATTATCATATGCATATTGTTAAAACAAGGCCATAATGTTTAAAAGGTAATGTTTAAAAGGTAAGGTATATGTAATTTTTATTATACAAAAAAGGTTGCAATTACGGATGCGCGATTTATGGGTCAGTTATTTTGTTTAATAATCATAATCCTTACGCCAAGTATAATGAGCAGCGCTGCGATTGATTTACTTTCCTTAGATTTCGGAAAATAATTCCAAACTGCAGAAATTTCCGATTTTTTTTGTGGTGTACAAAGCGTGTAAATACAGACGTAGATTTTCGATTCCCCTCTCTTCGTGTCATAAGAACTACGAAATCGTAATTTACATTAGTATGAGTTGCCAAGACCCATCGCTTTATTCATTATTTGTAATGTGCATTACAGTCGCTAGTATCGATAGTCTTAGGCCTAATTTCAGATGGAATACTTAAGTAGAGATTGTTGGTTAACTTCCGCAATTCGTTTTCAGATCATACATTTAATCTGCACTTAAATGGCTAATATCGGCTATTTAAACATAAGCTATGCAACCCTGTGTTTTGTACGAAACAACAAAGATTGATTGCTAGGATGTTTTATCAGTCCCACCAAAAACCGATCAGCTGTTCAGAACTTCAACATCAATTTCAAGGAATTAGTAGCAGTGCTGCCAAATGTTTGGCATATTTAAACAAAGTTGATCTGAAACCCAACAAAAGTTAAATAGCACTTTAACAACAATCCACAATTAAACTTAAGTGCCGTTTAAATTTCGTTTGAAATTGGCCCTTAAAACATCGGTAGTATATTTTTAAAAGAAAAACCATCGATAGTATCGTCGATATTTTTCAACAATTAATATTGTAATAGATTGAATTATTGTAGTAGGCTTTATAGTAAATAGCACCAAAGCAACTCTGTTAGATTATTTGCCTACCCCAATTCTTCCTCCTNGGTTATTTGAGAAAATCACGCGTAGCAAACGGTCGGAGTAAGAAACTGGGGTAAGTAACTTTGCCTATTTATTGTATTCATGTATGTATCATAACCAAATTTGTCTTTATATGTAGAAATAAACTTGCTTTTTCGATTGGCATGTTCCTCCCAAACTCCAGAGTTTTATTGCTGCGCGACATCTTTATTTCCCAATTGGGTGGTACAACCGCCAATTGCGTATCTGTGTGTGAGTAAAATCGAAATTTGCGGAGCGACTGAAATGGAGCGGTCACCGGTGCGCCGAAGCCAGCGCCTTCAGCCTGAAGACCCAGCAACTAACAAAGCGAAGACTGCTACCACGAGTACTAGAGCTGATGTATCATCCTCAAAATCAAATGCCGTCAAATCAAAAACACCGAGTGCTCCGCCAACTGTAATGTCTAATGCACCGTTAAATGCACAGCTACATAGCGCTCCACTAGTTGTTCTAAGTGATCCGTTAAGTGTACCGCCACATAGTGTGTCATTAAATGTGTCTTGTAGTGCTCTGCCAAATGTACACATGAATCCGTATGTTCTGCCAGTGAGTACCCCACTTACTTCGGCATCAAGTGTTCTGCCAGATATACCACCACCAAGTGCTCCATCCAGTACGCTGCCGTCTACTGCTATATCGAATATGCCGCCACTTAGTGCCCCAACCAGTGAGCCACCATCTAGCGCTCCAGTAACCAACGTTTTTCCCGCCGCCCAGCCAATAATGAGTACATCAGCTATGAGCGCCAACTTTGTCACACCATGTCCTAGCCAGGCTCACCAGGTAAGCGAAATTGCCACTTTTTATAATAATGCCCATGTCAGTGTTGGTTCGGGTACTACCACCCCGGTCATGGTCGATCTATCCAAGATCGCCACCTCTGCCGACGCCAGCATCGCCCCCTCTGCTAACGCACACGTCGCCTCTGCCACCTGCAACGCTGGCAGCGCCGCTTCTGCCAGCACCGAAAGCATGTATGCCACCCTGTGTAACGTCGCTACGCCAACCGCTTATTTAAATGCGCCTGCCATTTCTACAGGCGTATGTACATCTACATATGACGTAGCGCAAAGGAACATTTTTTTAGCTATGCAGCAACAAATTTCTAGATTGGAAATACAGCTCAAGCAAGCACAATTAAAAATCGCCGAAACCGATCGTGAACGTTCTGTAACGGGGCCGTCGCATTTAACTCCGTTAGCCACACCACCCCCTCGTCCAAACGCAATTATACCGCAACATTGTGCCCTGGCGTCATCAGCGCAGGCAACCGTTACATCGCACAACTTAGTCGTATCATCTTCTGGTAATTTCGTATTAGGTAGCGGTACCATCGACTCATTTAGGAATCCAGTCGGGTTACCTTTATTACCCAACGGGCAGCCAGCCACACACAATCCAGCAGTACTACTCAACCGACAGCGAGTCCCAGCCCACTCAATCGCACCATTCAATGGGCAGTCAGCTACCCTTGTAACAACCGCCGCGAACAATAGCCTCGCTATTCCTAATGGTACCCTACCTCAAGTTCTCACCGAGCCACAAAATACTTCACAATCTATGCCACTTATCGTTTCATCTAGCTCCACGCCGAGCCATGGTCAGCCCACCTAGTCGCCGGCCATGCCACAAAGCGATGGCCCTGCCGCTGCCTACGCGCCTCCCGCCACCCAAGCCCATAGTTCACAAGCGAATTTGTCGAGCCATACCCCACCAGCCAACTCTATGCCGCCGAGAAAATTAATAGATTTGCCACTGTTTTCAGGTCACGCAGAGGACTGGCCAATATTTTATGCAGCATTCATAGAGTCAACGTTAGCCTATAATTACACCAATTTT